CCGGCCGCTCGATATATGATTCGACAACCCCGCACATTTACCACGACATCAAAATCTTATGGGGATATTTTATATACTTTCAGAGATGGCTCAGAGAAATCGTCTTTCCTTAGGGAAAGAATGATGGACGAGCTTTAGGACCCAACACAGGGCCATTTGGATAACCGCCCTCACGCGTCCTAGAAGTTTTCCTAAGGGTTTCTGCAATCCAAGGATCGACATATTCTCGACGCTTTCAAGTCCAAAAAACTACATGCGTCAATTCAGCGCAACATAGATGATATTTGCGACTATAGAGGCCAGAACTTAAATCAAACCCTGGGCTCATTCTCTCGCAGAACGCATTATAGACCGGAAACACCTGGGAAATACGAATACTCCGAAAAGCGCATGCGAGGATGTGACGAGAATAAGCATGACCAAAATATCGAAATACGATATATGTGGGTTCTTGAATACACCTCGTTGTCGAGATAGAATCATAGCGGAACCAGAGCGCAAGCACGGGTGATTCATATGAATCCCCACAAGTCGGACCACCAAGGCAGAAGTGATTAGCCTCGAATCCAAGCGCTGATAGCTAATGGCCGATGCGTGTACCTTGGAATAAACAACATGCAGTCGTTATCGAATACATTACACGGGCCCACCTGCTAGCATAGAGGAGAAGTGGAAAAGAATTATGTGCCTGAAAGAGGGCTTTGGATTCATACTGAATAGCTAGCAACCCTCAGACTACCGAATGGCTTTGGAGAGGATGCTATAGTCCGAAAGCAACCTACCCAGGGCAAGAGTCACATTTTCTGACATGCTAATTCCCACATCGCTACACCAATACCATATTCCTTGCATCATGAAACCAGCGACTTCTTGAAATGGAAAGCCTGTCCAGTCGCCTCATGATTCCACAAAGACACTGGCGCTTCGCTGAACCGAATAGAATACGGCGCTGCGAAGGTCAAAAGTGAGGCTGGTTCCATCAAAGCCCCGACTGCCCAGCTGAGAACCCGGCCAGCAGGCCAACTATCGCCCACCTAATGGGCTGGTACCCCATCCAGTCATCAGGCTGGAGAACGGACACCTGTGGCTGCCGGGCTCCTTGCGAGCAGAATGATTGGGAGGATGACGGGGAGGAGGACTGGGAGGAGGAACCAAAATACCACAGACTTGATCAATTGATGGAAACTTTCGAAAGTTTTCAGTGCATCGGCTAGAAATAAAGAGGGAACTATCCATCTGCAGCAAAATTCTCCGGGCCACCTGAGTTCGGCATATATGCCGAAGCACCTACCATGGAACGTGGATGTTTCGATACCGTCGTCGACGACATACTCGAAGCGAGTTCGACATAGAGGATGTATGAGTCTACCATTTATTCATGAATTATCTGGGCCTATATTGCTGGAATACTTTCGATTTCGGGCACTCTCTATAGGCTTCGCTCGCTACAATATATGTGGACACGCGAACATGACATACTCGAGGATGCGTCTATCCTCCCTCAATGGCAACTCAAACTTGTACTAAAAGATCCGGGTGAGAAGGTCCCAGCTCCAGAGAAAGCTCCCATTACTTCGGGTCATGAAGGACATGTTTCGACAGGGCCCAGAGAGGCAAGCCCAGAACATTGTGGCTCTCGGACACACTATACTTTACGCGATATAGATATAGATTGATTGGGAAGCCCTGTTGGGGTATGTGGCGCAAACAAAAATCGAAGGACGTCAATCGTGTTATCGGACACAAAAGCCCCACATGTGCTGAACCCCGGCATCAACAATCTGCGATCGAAATGGCGGAATTAGATCGAGACTTTCGGGTCCGACATTTCTTATGATACCAAAAGGTTCCGACACTAGCGAAAGATATATACAGTTGGCTATAGTCCATTTTCTATTGAAAGGCAAAAGGTTGACAGCTGTTGTCGGTGCTTTTGGCCCTGGAATGGATCCCGAGGGGGAAGGTTCGGGGAGCATGGATGAAAAGAGTTTTACGACTAAATGATATTACAAGACGCAAACGCGGGCATATCTCTTGATAAATCCAGATGCACGAGCCCCGCAAAAAAGTCTGGTTTCGGGTTTCCGGGGGTCTTTCTTTTTTCTTTTTCTTTTTCTTTTTTTTTTCACTGGCTTGCAAAACACGCTTATTTAGCGCTCTATCCTATATATATTTAATCAAAGCCTTCACCAAATTTCCATATACGCATACTACATCAGACACAGTAGCATCTGGTTTACGAGATAATACTACATCCTCATACCCTTGATATTATCGATATATGACCAAGCATATATCCACTCCGCGCCTACTGTACCAATTCGATACGTTGCAGCTCACAATCATCATGGGGCGTCTTACTAGCGTGGCTTTCATAACCTACATTTGTTCCATGACAAATTCGCTGCAACGACGGGCCCTCATTTAGTTCATGAAAGCCCTCGGAAGCTCCGATCTTTGGCTAGCTGCGAGTGGTATACTTCGTTACATATATCCCTAACAAAAAATGCAAAATATGAGATTTACTGTCTAGTACCGAGCCTGGTGGGGCAAATGAAAACTGTAGAGATGGTATAGGAGGCTAGGCTACCACACCCTGATACCGAGGAACCATGAATATCTTCTAGTAGGTTCATAGTTGCATCAGTGACTCCGCAAGGGGGTAGTAAGCTATATATATAGCCTGGAAGAAACCGGTCGCCGCCGTGGTTCCATGGTACATTCATTTTATATTATAACGTTCTTTTCAGACACTCCTCGATATACCGATATTGGCCGGGGTGCTGATTTAGTCGGTATTTAACTCTAAGTAGCCGGAGATATACGCCAGTGATGCACTTGGGAATGTTGCCACTATCCTGCCAGTGATATGATGATATATTTTGCATAATAGCAGTTTAATTTTTTTTTTGGATTGATTCTCGGCCAGAGATTCGAATAAAGCCCTTGCGGAAACCCGCTATGATTGATAAAGACGCTCCGGTTCCAAAACCTTGTTCAAGCCATCGCTGAATGAGTGTTCCGACCATACCAGATCTCGATGTGGTCATACTCCACCTCTTGATGGGTGGTCCGAAAAGGCTTCTTCGAAGAAAAAATCGACTAGAAGGGTCCCAAAGTACCCATAATGGTCGCAAGGGAGAAGAATGCTCTTAAAGTGACACAAACTCAAAGCGAGAATTGGATTCGTTTAACTTTCCAAGATACCACCGGATGAGATCTCTATCGCTTCTCCGCATGCAAATGTTTCGCGGCCGGGTGGGATGCACCAAATACGTACCTTTCGAACTGGTCGCGGCAAAAGCAGATTCTAAACATGCGACGGTTAAAACCTTGACCTGCATCTATATATATACGTATTCTGAATGAAAATGACAATATAAATGGGTTTGAGTTGTCTCGTACCCAGCCCACCTGGGTTTCGAATAGTTTTGTTCCCAGGTTCTGATTGGGAGATGCGATGAGCCCCGGGGCGGAAATATATACCTCGCGCATCCTTTCCAGCTCATGGCGGGCCTCAATCCGCTCAAAGGTCGAACGGGGATGTGATGTAAGCGCCGTCCCCGTCCCTCTTACGGCTGCCAAAAGGGAGATGATGAGACCTGCTAGAAATATTCAACAGGCCGGGTATATCTAGGTCTGGCACCGAACCTCTCGAACCTAATAACGGAAATATTATATCATGTGGAAACGAGAATTTGATCAACTATCACATAAAACCGATCGATCAAGATAACGACTCCGAACATGCTGAAAAGGCAACACCTATCATATATAGTACAGTGAAATGCCTTCGAAGGCAATATGTCCTTTTCTACAAAATACCATGGGAGGGCACAGCTTGGTATAGGGGACAAGGCACAGTTAAATGTCGAAGGTCCGTGGTGTTATCGATACACAAAATCAGCTTTGGGGACTAGCAGACTAAATTTATAAACTGTCCGCATTACAGTATTTCATGGCTGCCGACGGATGTTCTCTAGTCTTATATCCCTAATCAAGTCACGTTCAGGGCCAAATACATCATATGTCCCTTCCGATGCTATACCCACTGACTACCAAGAAGACGCGAACTTCACATGACCCAATTTGCGTTCCGCGACCCAAGACGGGGGATAGTGGGTTCGAGCCATATACCCACACAGCAATGTACAGCAAGAGAATATGTGGGCCTAGCTCGCTTCAAAGAGGATACGAGTTAAGGTGAGCGCGCTTCTATTATCATATATGTACATATGTGTACCAGCTTTGGGTTGCGAGCACGGTCCATAGCTCCCACTAAGTAGCTTACCGCGCATGGATGAGGCCATACAATCTACTTCACATATACATAATGCCTACGACTCCATGCGCGGACCTAAATCTATTTCCTTTGATCCATGTCATCACCACCACCTTCCAGAAAGCGCGTCAATATGAAGGCCCTTACTCAGAGCACCAACGGACTTTCGACGGAAATCCAGCTTGCCACAACCGTATTTAGGACTTAGGCCGCCTTCTAGCGGGTGGTGACGGCCACCGTTCAACAAAATCAAGGAGATCAGACGCAGCCACAGACCGCGAGTCATGGTACAAAATGTCTCGCGACCTTGGGGTAGCGATCGAGCCAGCGTGTTATTTCTATAAGTTTGTTATCTTACCAATAAATGTATAGACTCGCGTGTTACTTTTATGGTAGTCCTTCGTCTTATATCATAATTCTTATGAAGGCTGCAATGATGTTCACGTTTCTTTAGCGATGACCATCATGATATTAGTGTATATAAAGAAATAGAATTCTAGAATACGGGAGGTATTCGTATGTGCAAGTAGTATTTCTAAAATCCCCGACGAATTCATGCGAAATTATTCACGCGCACAAATTTCCAGATCACTCCTTTTATTTTACAAATGGAATGTTCTGACCTTCCCATTTAACCCACAACGCTAACCGGGGTGCGGCCCAAAAAAATTACATCCGCTTAAGGCCTTCGACCCCAGCAGCAAAACGATAAACTCGCTGATTTCATTGAGGATCGAACTCAAGACCTCGACCGTTCAAATTCTCAAGAGAAATTGTTAAGGTCGCGTGATAACCAACTACACCATGAAACCGTTGCGGATTTGTGATTGCGAGATCCTTTCGGCGGGTGAAGAATCTTTTCGGCGACATTCCCCGCTGGCTTTTTCTTTTGTCGCTATTGAATCTGAATCTAGGTCAACGCAAGTGCCAAGGCGTCGACATGCCTTTTCCTGAATCCATGAGGCGAGCTACCAAGATGAAGCACAAATATCCACTGTTTTCGGGGTAAGTTAAATCGAATTGATATTCCTGAAAGTTCACATCGTGTTTGAAATCCCCTTTTTCAGCGGGGTCTGATTCGAAAAATAAACTAGAGAAAATGCCCAGGTCAAGCGTTTATATATTATAACACTGATGATAAGGGTCACCTTCTACAACACAGAAGAAGTAAATTACAACATGGGAATCTAGGCAGGTCACATCTGGATCTGGCCGCTGGGACGACGCTGCGCAAACGAGAAAAGCGAGTTTACAATTTACCCTCGAGCATTAATTTAGCTCCGACACTAAAAGTACACTACCTACAGGACAGTAACAGTAAACACATATGATACAACCTGGGCGCGGAAGGCGCAGACGCAGAGGTACAGTTTCGTCATACCAAGTTGTTGAGATGAATGCGCCCATACCACCCAGATATGACCAGAAAATTATATACTACGGTACCAGGCCAATATTTCCAACAGTCGCGCTCTGCCCTATATTTCCAACAGTCGCATTCTGTCCTATATTTCCAACAGTCGGGTTCTGTCCTACAGTCCCAACAGTTGCGTTCTGTCCTACATTTCCAATAGCCGCGTTCTGTCCCCCAGACCAAAAGGCATGAGTGGTAGGTGGAAAATCCGAGAATTTGCATCTACCCCTCTCAGGCCTTCCGATCCAAGACCAAGGCCCCGCTTGTTCACCTAGAATGCAAGAGTCGGAACACGAGTCCCAGGTGACTGGTCGGATCGAAGCCTTAACTAAACCCCCTTCTGTCGGCGTGTAATCCACCTCGCTAGCTTGCAAATCGATCGCTTCATTGTGCCGCCTCACATATTGTCTATCCTCACCATTTAATAGAACCTTGAAAGCGGGTGTCGACGCCGCGCAAGGAGCTGTTGACTCCGTTTCCTCCGCCGCGTCATCAACCGCGTCACCAACTGCCTGAGCGTTGCTTTGGGCGAGCTGGATTTGGCGATTTCCTATCTCCTCGGCTATAACGATACACTCCGCTTCGGTCATTCTGGGGTTCGCACTTGCGAGATATTCCAGGATACGGAAACGTTGGAGGTTCGGAGGAGGTATCAAACGTAGCTAGTTTTTATGGGCAGTTGACGCTGTTAGTATACTGGAATTTTATGAGCCTAAAAATGGTGTTTTCACATACTAATTTTTGTGAGCCCATCGGCAGCGCTAATTCTCTCAACTTCGGCCAGTCGCTAAAGTCGGTCGCTCCTTCATTCGGCCACCAGCGGAGGCGAAATCCTACCCGCCAAACCGGTCGTTTATTAGGAGGCAGAATAACTGAGCCAAAATAAAGAACCTCTAAACTCGGTCGTAGATGTGCAATGGTTGAATGTAGATACGGACGCCACTCGTGATTTTGTCCAATACTCAATATCTTCAGAGGCGGAAGACACATCAAAATAGCGACGAGGGTATCGTGATGATGATGAGATAAAAGTTGAAAAGCTTTTAGGTTGGCCAGCCGGTCGCTGCGTAGGAGATATAGAAGCGGTCTCTTGAATCTTCTATCGCCCAGAAAATCTAACGATAGGCAAGTGAGTTTCTCGGGGATAAAGAATGGCTCGGGGCAGTATCCGAACTCAGGTTTGGAGTCTTTGCTCTTGTCATTGCCTGAATTCGGGGCTGGTTTGGGGCCGAAGAAGTCCTGAAGGAATCTGCATGAAGATATTTTTAGTTCCCTCAAAGCAAGTGGGTTGTGCAATGGCCTTCTGGAGAAAGGGAAGAGATGATTCCGAGCCAAATATTCAATATACTCTTTGTTCTGCATAACACCAACTTGAAAGTGCAGCGAACGGAGGGTTTTAGAATTCCGAGATAAGAAATCCCAAATGAAATTGTAGTAGCCAGAAAACCGTCCTAACCTTCGCCCGTGGACCGTATCAGGCTGAAAGTAGTCTAGCTGGTGCGAGTACTGCGAGTCGACTTGATGCTCAGCGGTGGGCCACATCACATAGAATGATAGGGCTTTTAATTTCCTGACTGGCCAAAGAGCCTCCTCCCACTTTGGCCCAGTAAAAAGGTTTTGACCGAATACAATCTCCAACTCTCTGATGTTCTCGTTTCCCCACAGCAAGCGTACTACGATCTCATTCGCATAGATACATTTATCGATCTCCCAAAACCCGCGCAGCCTAAATAGAAGCACAATTAGAATTGAGGCACAGCCATTCGGGGTACGAAATGATTTCGGGTTGTAACGCTTAATACGCATGTAGGGGATGTGTAAACTAAATCTGGGGATAGATAACAACCATATTTAATTAACTTACTTGAGGACTCTTAGATTCGTAATCTGTCTTAATACGGGTGCAAACTCGACTGGGAAGTTGTCGGGGTCCTTTTTATGGCGCCATAATAAATCGCACGGAACGATATCTAGAGTGCGGATATATTGAATCCCTGGCGTCGTAGGGTCAATCCACCGTGGTACTTGTAGGTGTGCTCTAAAACACGGAATTTGAAGTGTGAAGGTGCGGTATCGATACCGGATGGCGGCGTTGTAAAGCGCCCGACAGAGCGGTGACAATGACATAATATCTCGGTGATGTAACTATCGCCATAAAATGCATATGTCAGTCATCACGTATATGTAGTTAATATTACTTAGCCAACCCATGGCCAAAAGTAGATCTCTGCAGAAAACTCCAGAATCAAGTAATCTTTTGGGTTTAGAGTACACGAGACCGGCACTTACATAATCGAATATCATCATCAAAATTTCCATTTGGGCTCTCTGGAGCGGACTTTGGTGTGTAGGGCTTGAATCCATTTATCTCAGCTTCACTAATAATCGTCTGTAATGTTTATGTGGGTCTGTGTCCTTTAGATAGCATAGGGTGTTATCATGTATACGCTTGGCAGTATACAGAGGTATAGGATAGAATGCGTGCAAGTAGTGAATTCAAGGGGGGGCCTATAGAGTGATGGTGAGAAGTATTAGTGGCGAACGGAAGCAAAAAGAGGAAAGGTTTCAGAGCCTCGATCAATCAAGGCGAGACTTCGTACGCGTACGGGAGCAAGTGGGTACGACCATCCTTTGTCTATTCCGTGATAGTCTTCATGCAATTCATACTTGGGCTATATCTTAATTATTATTGATATTCTAAAACGATTATCGCGATCAGCAGCTAGCTGAGCTCACACAATACTGAGATTAACCTGCAACGTAGAGCCACATACATTTTTAGGCCTTTTATACGTCTGAGTACTTCAAATAGCCCGACTCGATTGCCATTAGCCCCGTTCCCAGCCTCACTCAGATTGTCATCACATTTGTAGGTTTAACCTGACCACGATCCGATTCTCAAGCCCAGCAGGAATAACAGATCTGCAGTGCGGATTAATATTAATTTTTGCTCATAGCTTCCAGCGATTGCACCAAACACTTTTCGTCGCATGGTAGAACCGTTCTCGCGGGTAGGCCTGGGAAATGCTTGGAATTGTCCCCTCTGGGAGGCTACGAGACTAAGCTGTCCTAATGTTAGTTACTTAAGTAGTTACTCTGTTATGGCTGGATTCGAAGCGAACTCAAAGCTACTGTTCTGCCTTCTTTTCCATTGCATGGGCTGCAGCGCTGCAGAATCGAGCGCAGTTTGGGCAACACACAAGCTTTGAGTTCATGAACTGGCCAATCAACGTCCAATCCAAGTACCAGACTATGCCTATTTAGTAAAATCCCTCCTCTTCGCAACATTAGCAACACAATTAATATGCACTATCAACGAGATAAATCCCCTCTCTGATAGCGCCTCGCCTTGCACAGCGTTGAATAAAATCCAGGGACCACTCTGCCGACAGGGGGCTTTCGTAAGTTTGAAGGTGCTCCAGCCTTCGTGGTCAAACTGGAAGCCCTTCGATGGGTGCATAACGTAGCAAAAATACGCCTTTATATACGGGGATCTATCCATACACGAAGGAACTCCACAGGTACACCATTTATACAAATCGCTACACATTTAAAAGGGAAACAAGAGGTATTGTATTTAAATCACCAAACCCGAGAATTGAAAGACGGCTGAATTCAGTACATAAAATCGCCCCAACCACGCCCCTCAGTCTCATCTTCTGACTCTGACTCTGACTCCTCCCCAGTGTTTCTATAGTCCTCATACGCTGCCGCAAAATTACACCCGCGACTACTTAATTCTACACCCCCGCTATTGTTCTCCCACAATTTCACGAGAATCACAACCGAAGCCCAGACACCATACTTCTGGCGCCTGAACCCTTTAAACAGTACCTGTTCCAACTCGGGTAAAGTGGTTTCTCTCCAACTACGACATAACTCGCTTAGGTCTTCCGCTGGCGTACATCCATTTTGTGTTCGAGGCCACGGGAGATCTAGTTGTTTCAGAGATTTCCAGTTCTTTACGAGGCCGTAGTCCTCCAGCGATATTGTTTCGTATAGTTCGCCACCATTATCGTAGGTGCGGCCTCCGAAGGCTTTGATGGAGAGTTTTTGGAGATTTGGAAAACTGGATTGAAGACGGTGAAGCCCTTGAGAGTTTGAGAGTCTGTTGGCCTCTAGACTCAGATGCGTGATGGATTCAAAGCCCCTGGGGTTATCGAGGAAACTTTGAGTGGAACTTTCGGTGGCAGGCTTATCTTCTTCCGTAAACCAGAGCTGGCCGAATGGCTCGTCAGGCGGGTTGTACAGGTCTATATCATCTATCGTTTCAATTTGTAGGTCGGTCAAGCCTGGTGATATTTGTGGGGTGATGGGCAAGTAATAGAATTTTGATCGTTGGTAGTAGTCAGTTGCGGTATCCACCCCAGGTGAGGGGATAAAATTTGATGCCATTTT